CAGTAGTTTGAGGGCCCTGCCTTTGTTTTGCCTTTGAATAAGAGATATTTATCCATGTCTCAGTTTTTTAGGTATGAAATTCACAGCACCTGCCACCCTTATCCCTGCATCGCCTCTCCAAAAGGCTTACCCACAACTACCAAAAGCCGCTTATTTGTTCCAGTTTGGGAAAAATCTATGAAAAAGCATCAGTACTGATCCACAAGGAGAAGAGCTAGAACATGAGAGAAGAGTTATGTGCCTAGATTTCCCACAATGGTACAGGGCTGAAAGAAGTCTTAGTGATCTGGATGGCCCTATTTGACTGTCCTTCCTCTGCTTCTTAGGCACAGAACTGGGAGTCAAGGAGACTGTGTTTTATTACTGATTTTTGCAAGTCTCTAAGCCCATTTCTCAGTTTTCCAATGTGCAATACTATGTGACGTTTGCTTTCACCTTGGGATTTGTGTAGATAGCTTTGTTCACTTTCAGAAAGTCCTTTCAGATCACCATGTGAACTGTGTCATTTTACTTCAAAGTAATGAACAATGTGGACAAAGCAATAAAATGCTTATGGGGAAAAATATCCAGGCAAACACTTCCATTAAGAAGGACTGGAAGAAATATTAAAGTAGGAAAACATTTTCTTTCGAAGCAGGATAATTGATAATTGTCCCCAGGGAGGTGTGGGAGGGGGTTTCCTTCCTCCAAAGCATCTGCTACTAGCCGCTCTCTGAGCTTGAAGGGCTGTTTAGTGTGATCCTATTTGGCAGTCCCTATGTTTCTGTCACTTTTATGCTTTACCTTTTAGTTATTCACATGTTTTGTAGTTTCACAGCAAAAGTAATTTTGACTCCTCCAGCTGTTGATAAACTTGAGCTGTCAATGCACTAAAAGTGACTGCATGGGCAGGCTGGAGAATGTCAGTGTTCAGCTGGTAACTTTTGTTTACTTAGCATTTACATAATCTCTGGGGGTTTTGTTTGTTTGATTGGTTGGTTGTTTGTTTTTTTTTTTCCTGTGCCTGCAGTAGTCAGTATTAGTTGTATATCTGAGAGGCATATTGCAAATCTGTATTAAATTAATATTGATAATAGCCTTGCACAGATGCCCAGACAAAGAAGAGTAGTATCCCCTGCCCTTCTGCTTGTCATAGAGGCCAAGGACTGTCTCAGTCCTTATGTTTCTGGTGCTTAGGAAATGATGAAATGATAGAAATTAGCAAGAAGAGGAGCTAAAAAAGCTGTGCTAAGGTTAGGAGCTGCTGACCTTGGCCCATGGAAAGAAAGGTGTGTTCTAAACTATGGGAAAGGGTAGAGCAGGAGCTGCTTAGGCTTGTGGTCCCCCAGAGCTCCTGTCTGATGCATGTGGCACAGGGAAGCTGCTGATGCACAGATCCCCAAACAGGCAGAAGTTTAGAGACGGTGGGGTAAATCACTCTGAGGTCTAAATTCCTGAGCAGAAAGAATCTGCTTAACAACCAGCCAGGAGCCAGTGAGCTCTGGGCAACAGCCATGCGAATGTGAAGACACCCCTGGGGAAAGTCCAAGACGCTGGAAGGTAACTCTCCTAAATGGCTTAGCTGTCGCAGTGGCTGTTTGTTCCCTTTTGCCTGCTTATTTGTTTACAACCTTGAGCTCAGATCTTGTATCTTTGCTCTTTCACTTAGTGATATTTAATTTATGCTGCCATTTATCTTCCATGTGAATGCTAATTGTCCACATTGCTAATGTGCAGTCATTAAATGGTCTCTTTGTACCGGGGGATGGTGAGGAGCCAGGGCATCAGATCCTTCCTCTCCCCTAAGAACTGCTAGGCATGTGTTATGAATTAGATTTGACAGCTCTGCAGTGTCTGGTCTGCAGTGTCTTGTCTCTCTGCGGTGGGGGGAGGGAAGGAGAGAAGGTGAGGTGGGGGGAGTTATTAATCCAAACAGCTAATCAGCAACCTACTGAACAGGAGGACCAGAGGTATGGTATAGAGCAGGGTCTGGTTATTTGCTTAACAGTGTGTCAGAAAGATATGAGCGGCCTGATTTAGGAAAGGCTAGGCAAATTCAAACCAGTCATTTGGAATTTGCTGTGCTGTGCGAGGTGAGCACTGGGTCAGCAAAGTTCAGGTGGGTGGCTGCAGTATGAACTTCCTTCCTTTGTACCTTCATCTCCTCTGCAGCCTCCACTCCTTGCAGAACCTGCGGTGACAGCAGCCATGCTGATGCAGGAGGGAGCTTTCTGGAGCAGGGCTTCTGCAGGATTCATCTATTGATGTCCTGGCTAGTGCCAGCTCTTGTCTTTCTGCACTCCCAGTCGCTTTTATCTTTACTCTTCCTCATGCACAGACCAGTTTGGGTAGTTCAGTAAATTATCCGAGGACTGAAAAAAAAGATGCAGATAGGAGGAACCTACCTGAAACTGAGAACCACTGAACAAATGTGTATCAAAGAACAGTGACTGACCCAAGCCCCAACTCTTGCCTCCTTGGCACATCTCACTGTCCTTGACTGTTCTAGATTTGTTTATTCACATCTCTCTCTCTCCTTCTGTCCTTCTTCCTCACCTATGGATCACCCTTTGCAACACGGAAAGTAGTTCAACAGTCTTCTCTGGCCTTTGCCTTTCCTACAACATCTTAGCCTGTGCTTTGTTTGAGCTTTAGTTGCTTTGTTTGTATGTCTTATCTAGCCCATTGACACAGATAAATAGCCTTTCCTCAGTGCCTAGTCTTGCCTCTGCCTACACACAATTTATTTTTGACTTAGTCTCTGATTTTTTTACCCGAGTATGGAACTGTAAAAAGGAAGTTATAGAAAACTCTTTAAAAAGTCCACTCCCCCTATCACCAAATCCACTGATGAAATGATCCCACACCATTCTCAGCCTTTTTTTCTACTGGCTTTTCCTCCATGTTGGCACCGAGAGCGTGAGATTTGTGAGACCAGGATGCATCCAAGCCTGCCACAAAACACCTGCTGTTTTATTCCATCTCACTCCATGGGTACAGGCCAGCTCTGGGGGCAGCTGGTGCTCACAAATTTTGAGACAGTTCTAATATAGGAATTACATTAGACTTCTATCTATTGAAATGTGTGTGTGAACAAGTGTACTACTATAAAAACTCTTCCTTAATTCCTGGGAGAATAGGATAGTGTGTCTACATGGAGAAAAAAATTCCTCTCCTTTAAAGCAGAAGAGTTTTCACTGGCATTTTGCTGTGTGAAACATTGGTTACAGGCAGCTGTGCAGTAAACACCAACTGAACCAGATCTTATGCCCACAAGCCCTTTGGCTAATGACAATCCCAAATAAAGCATGTTGTGTGGCCTGTCACTGGCCTAGCTGCCATGTACAGGTTGGTCCATCCTACAATACACGCAGTTAATGAGAATGCAGTCCTGTGCCCTCCTGTCCTCTGCTAGCTAGCACATCTGACCTACAAAACCACCTGTGTGCATTGTTTTGTGACATCAGTCTGTTGTGCCCAGTTCCATTGCAGATTTTCTGATCTGGATAAATCTCTACTGCAGAGACCAGCCAAAGTTGTTTGTGTACTTTAAGCATAATTGGATACCCAGTCTCCAGAGATAAAAAATTAATGTGCTAACCTCAGTGTGCCTCCAAGCTGTCTTCCAGCTCCCCCACACAGTCATCTTTGAAACATTTTTATTTCCATCCAGGCAGGGGGCTGGCCATGAATAAATGACAAGAGTCAGCCCCTCAGTTGGAGACGAGCTGTTTGTTCCTCTCCACAAGCAGTATCAATTTGAAAAGCTACATCAGGCCTACTTTTTCCCTGCCTCAGTACTGATCCTCGCTGGGCCCATGACAGGATCTACTTCTGAATGCAAGGATGCATCAATGCCCACCTTGTGACAAGATACCCTGCAGCAGGTGCCTTTTCAGTGAAAATATGTACTTTACCTTAAGTTGGCTTCTCATTAGTTAATTCTCTTCAGGTTTTTTGTTTTCCAGAGCTTGTTTTCATAAGGAAAAATAGTCAGAGCACTAAAAGAAACAGTGGTGCTTGCAGAGTTTGGAAATGCTTAACAATTGCCACTCAAACCCTGTTTGCAACTGTAAATTTATTGGGCTTTTAAGACTGATGCTGAAGAAAAAAAAAATAGATCAGTTTAGAGTTTTGGAACAGTGGAAAATTCCAAACTTGTCTCCTAGGTACAGGGATTCCCATAAGGGATTTTTTGTTGTTTTGTTTGGAGTTGTGGGGCTTTCTGTTTGGTAGTTTGGGATTTCTTTATATATACTGCCTGGCCAGGACCTGAAATGTTGTTGTCAATGTGCAACTCTCATTGAAGAGAAGCACCTAGTGCTTCTCAGTAGTTTATGGGAAAGTACCCCTCAAAATCAGGAAATCTGAATGTTAACATGTCAGACTTTTGTCTGCCTTCCTATTCTTTATCTCCTACTGTTTATTGTCATGTGGCAGTGGACAGTTACAATGATTTATTGTGAACAGTGGGATTTTGGCCCATGCTTTAGGTGTTCCTGGAGAGGACTCTATAGGATCAGTGCATCAGTAGTTTATGGGAAAGTACCCCTCAAAATCAGGAAATCTGAATGTTAACATGTCAGACTTTTGTCTGCCTTCCTATTCTTTATCTCCTACTGTTTATTGTCATGTGGCAGTGGACAGTTACAATGATTTATTGTGAACAGT